TTTCAAAATGTGGCTCTCGCCTTTGCGCCGCACACTTTCGTTTTAAAATGTGCAAGAACTTAACGGACTGAGGGCGGGCCCTTTTCAAAATTGGGTCCTCGCCTCAGCAACGCGCACATGCTTTCATACAAAATTGCAAAGACTTCCACGGATGCAAAAGTTGCAATGACGAGCAATGATGGAGGGCGGGCCATTTTCAAAATGTAACTCTCGCCTTAGCGCCGCGCATGTTCGTGGTATTCTAAATTGCACGAGCGTCACGGATTGAAAGCGGTTCCTTTTCAAACTGTGGCTCTCGCCTTGGCGCGGCGCGCATTCTTTGTTTTAAATGTGCAAGAGCTTCACGGATTGAGGGCTGGCCGTGTTCAACATGTAGCTCTCGCCTTAGCACCGCGCACATTCGCTCTAAAAACTGCCATGAGCTTCACGGATTGAGGGCGGCTAGTTTTCAAAATGTGACTCTCGCCTTAGCGCCGCGCACATTCGTTTCCAAAATTTGACGGCGGGTCGTTTTCAAAAATACGGCTCTTGCCTCAGCGCCGCGCACATTCGATTTGAAAATTTGCAAGAGCCTCTCATATTGAGGTCGGGTCGTTTTCAAAATGTGGCTCTCGCCCGATCGCCGCGCAAATTCGTTCTACAAATGTGCAGGAGCTTCACGGATCGAGGGCGGGCCGTTTTCAAAGTGTGGCTCTCGCCTTAGCGCCGTGCATGCTCCTTTCGAAAAATGTGCCAGAGTTCCACGGATTGAGGGCGGTTCCTTTTCAAACTGTGGCTCTCGCCTTAGCACCGCGCACATTCGTTGTAAAAAATCGCATAGGTTCATGAATTCGCATGGTTACTGCACCAGAAATTGCGTTCTGGAGCGGTTCTGGATTCAGGGCGCACCAATTATGTTGATTCGCGGTGTTGAAGTCCAAGGAATCACGATTCTGGATTGCCAAGATGTAACAATAACAAACAGTCACGTTAACTCGTGGCGCTGAAAACCTGGGGCTAGTGTTTGGGCACGCTCCAGGATTTTCACACGGCTGCCCCCCAATGGAGCAACTCCCCCAGTGGAAATGAATCTTTGTAGGGACCCATGAAGAGGGAGCTTGGAGGGAGGGTGTATTCTGACATCGTTGGTGAGTCTTGGGTCTACACCGGTCCTCCTCCTCCTCCTCCTCCTCCGCGTCCTCCTCCTCCTCCTCCTTCCAGACGCCCACGGGGCCTCAGCAGATGCGGCGTCAGCCCCGTGAATTCATGACCCCCGAGTTCTCTCCCGCCAGATAGACGCCTGCGGGCCGAGGCGGGTGGACTTCCTGCCCGGCGGGGCACGGAGACCGGCTTTGGATGCCCCGAGCCGCGCCTCGACCGCCCCCGGGCACGTCGAGGGCCCCGGGAGGCCGCACCGACAACGAAAAGGCCGGGACCCTTCTCCCGCAGGACCCGCCTCCCTTATGGCGAGGGAGACAGCGGGACGAGGACCCAGCGGGAGAGAAGGCGAGGTGAGGCCCAGCAGCCGATTCCGAGGCTTCGAATCGCAGCCACCGGACTGCTCTGCGAGGAAGGGGCTCCAGTTGTGGTATCATTCTCCTTCGCCGTTTCCCCAATTGGCGCTGGCACCGAACGAATCTTCGCGGAGGTTGAAGCATTTGGCCAAAGTTGCGGGCCAAGTGCGGTGGGACGCTGGGATCTCGAATCCCAGAGGCGGCCAGGTTCCCAGGTCCATGAGAGCGCAGACACTGTAGAGAGCAAATGGCAAATGGTAGAGAGTATAAAGAGCACAGTAGTACAGTGCATGGCAGAGAGCAAAAGGCATGTAGTAGAGAGCACAGAGTTGCGAGGCGACAATAGATAGTAGAGGGTATTGTTGGGTCCTTGTGTTGTTTGATTGCGAGAATCTGGCTGGCGCGCGCCGAAAGCGTGGCGCCCCAGATAACGCAGCACGGAATTGCAGACAACCGTATGATAGGGATAAATCGGTCCAGTGATTAGAACCACTTCCGGAGAGGCAGAAAACTACCAAAGTCATGCCGGTGCGCTGGTGGTCCTCATAAACTCATCCAACATCCCTGGGGCAAAATGTACACTATTCGCCCAGCAACTCTGAACAACTCCAGTCGTACACGTGGGGGCGTCGCAGCTTCATCTATGTATTTTCCCCTCCCTCCTCACGCATTCTCTTCTCCTCCTCCCCTGTCCCCAGTCCCTCCCTCTTCCTCCTCTTCCTCCTCCTCCTCATCTTCCTCCTCCGCCTCCTCCTCCTCCGCCTCCTCCTCCTTCCCGCATCGTCCTCCTCCCGCCAACCTCCCGCCCTCCCTCCCCCCCCCGCCTCCCCGCCCCACCCCGCCCTCTCCCGCCTCCCTGCGCTACCTCACGCTCGGCGCCCCCTCGGCACGCGGGCCCCCCAGGCCCCCTCGGCCGGCACGCCTCGCGCCGCAGGCTCCGTCGCGGCCCCCCCGGCCCGTCCCAGGCCGCGGGCGCCGAGCGCGGGCCTGGGATGGCGTTGAACATC